TGTTGGTAGTGCTTCCTCGACGAGGTCTGGTGTCGTTGCTGCTGCTACTGTTGTTGTTCCTGCTACTGCCGATGATGTCGCTGCTGCTGCCGATGATGTCTCTGCTGCTGCCGATGTTGTCTCTGCTGCTGCCGATGTTGTCTCTGATGCTGCCGAATGTTGTATTGTTACTAACGCACGTGTTCGTTCTGCTTCAGGAATGGTATGTGAATACCAAAAGCCTTCCGGACTGAAGTCGGGGTCGAGATCCGGTGGGTGCGTCCAAGATGTGAAGGTGACGATCCCGTCAGTGTCTGCGGTGCCTAGGTCTGGGATGAGGACATTGTTCTTCAGGACCGCCTTTCCGATGTAGAGGCCGCCCTTCCTGTAGTACAGCTTGAACTCCTGGGTGGTACTGTCGGCTTCCAGATGTATGCCTTTCGCCATCAACTGACTGACGCTCAGTAAGTTGTAGCCAAGTCCTTCTGCTATTAGGACTTTGGACATTTGCAGTATGACATTCGTCTCTCGTGACTGAAGTTGCACTACTCCTTGTCGTCATTGTCATAAGTATGAAACAGGAATGGAGAAAGAGGGGGTTCACTAGCAAGCAGTTGGATACAAATAGCAAACCCTAACTGGGTTGTACTCGCTATGGAGCACCCCACTGCAGGCTAGACAAGATAACATTCTGACAGTCGTATGCGCAGGTTCTGATTATTGGCGACAGTGATGACGACTTCTCGTTGAAGTTGGTGCTCGCGTTGAACAAAACGTCATGAAGAGCACATATGTTGTCCGCAGCAACTGTCCAAGAGCACATAATTAAACTGTTTTACTGTTGCGGTTCGATACAGTGCGACTCGGGCAACTGCTCAATGTCGAGTTAGTTGTGTGTCCTTGCTGTCGCGCTGCATTTGTCAAGTCAATGTTCGCTGACCTTTGACTTTCGCGTAACCTCCAGCGGTTACTTGAACCTCCGAGGGTTGACTCGCTGGTGCCTTGATATGCTCTGCTTCGCTTGTGTCTTGGTGTTTTGACACGAGAGAGGCGCTTAAGATTGTTTGTTCCCAACAAGACGAACATCAACACAAGAATTAAAACGACATACTACTAGGTCAAAACGGGCTTGAAACCAGCATAAATCAATGAGAATAGGTGCAGCTTATCAACGACCTAAAATAGTACCATTAGATGCGCTGAAATTAATGACTAAAATTGATACTGCTTCTTACCGTCAACTAACGAAGTTCTAAGATACGCTAAACTATATGACTAGAATAAGAGCCTGCATGGTAAGGTCTAGGTGGCAGCTTGATTTTCTTACCTGTTGAGTGGTAGGAGGAGCATGAGTGGCGGGAGGAAACATAACTAGGCATCTCTCACGATTGGAAAGCGGGAGAAAGAGGAAACCAAAACGAAACCCTAAGGCAGTTCACACGCAACAGTATTAAAAAAAAAAAACTCAACGCGACTTTTAACCCAAAGGTTTTGATAGTGGTTTCCAAAATTCGCCAGTCCATATGTGCTGGGTTCGATACCTGAAGCAAAGGTTTTGCGGTTTCTGCTAAACAAACATTCTATATCAAATAAGATAAAAACACTCCTAGGCATTCAAGGATGAAGATAAGATGTATATAAAAACCGGATGTGTGAAAAACAGCTTCGCAACTGAAAGCCTCATCGGAATTCGGTCGTCGGAACGGTTTTGCCAGTGTCGTCGAGGGGGGTTGTCAGAGCCGAGAATGACGAGGCATGCGACTGACGCGCGTGCGGGCCCGCCAGCCTGGCCCAGGGCTGGGCCGAGCGCACGACCGCCACCCCGCAGCAACGCTCCAAGAGTGAACAGCGGCCCACGTTACCGGGTGGGGTCGGCGAACTGGCGACCCGTCGCGCGAGGGAAAGTAACCCTCGCACGAAGGCAGCCCAACCGTGCCACCTGCCCGCGAGGTCCTAGTAACCCATCGCGGCCTGACCGCACGGGCAGGCGAGGGCCGGGCGAAAAATCGGGGGCCCCTCGGGACACTTGACAATTTCGCGACCCATTGCGGTCGCGCCACGTGTTCGCCCGTGGCTTCGCAGCGCACGCATGCGAAATTTCGGACGATGCGAAATTAAAACATCTCGCATCTACCACCGCGATCCGCTACGAAAATCGATACGTGTCAGCCCTAGATGTCAGAATGTTCTTATCTAGCCTGTAGTGGGGTGCTCTATAGCGAGTACAACCCTGTTAGGGTTTGCTATTTGTTGTCAGAATATTATGCTCTAGCCTGTAGTGGGGTGCTCCATAGCGAGTACAACCCTTCTAGGGTTTGCTATTTGTATCCCCATTCTTGCTAGTTCAACTCTCTTCTTCTTTCTAAATTTCACATGCTATCAGAGCAGGTCGATCCCCTTGGATCGATCCTGTGGGTGGGCTTACCACCTCGTTGCTTCCGCTGCAACTACTACTGCTACTCTCTGTGCCGCACGCCCCGTGGCGTGCGGCAGTTTTTCTTCCCGCCGTGCGCCCCGAGGCGCGCGGCGATTTTCTGCCCGCCGTGCGCCCCGAGGCGCGCGGCGGTTTTCTGCCCACGGTGCGCCCCGAGGCGCGCGGTGGTTTTCTGCCCGCCGTGCGTCCCGAGGCGCGCGGCGGTTCTCTGCCCGCCGTGCTCCCCGAGGCGCGCGGCGGGTTTCTGCCCCGTCACGCCGCGCGTAGCTCTCGGGAGGCGCTGCGACGGGCGACGGGGACCCGTGCGTCGCCCCCCCCCCCCCCCCCCGTCGCCGCTCCTATCGGCCCCGTCGCCGCCGCCAGCGGCCCCGTCGTCGCCGCCAGCGGCCTCGTCGCCGCCCTTGCACGGCCCCGGCCCCGCCCCGGCCATTTCCCCTCGCCTGTCGAGGCGACCCTCGGGGGGGCGCTTGGGGGAGGGGGGCGGGCGCCGCCCCTTCTGCCACCTGTTTTGGCGCCCTGGGAGGCCGCGCATCGGTCCCCCCCCCCCCCCCCCCCCCCCCTCTCTCCCCCCCGTAACCTCCCTACCCGCCATCCCGCCCTGCCCTGTGTTAGGGTTTGGGGGTGGCGAGTAGGGGGTGGCGGGTGTGTGGTCTCTCCTGCTCCTCCTCCTCCTCTGTCTCCCACTACTGCACCTGCCGCTGAGGGGGGTGGGTGTGTGGGAGTCGACGGAGTGGTGCTAGGGGGTGGGGTGTGAGTGACCCTAGCGGTGTAGCAACGGGTGTGTGCCAGGGGGAGTGGGATAGTTTGGGGAAGCTGCATGGAGGTTGCCGACGTGTCGCCAACAGCACCTGTAGTCCGGGGAGTTGCTCCGGTAGCCCAGTTGTAGCCAGCTGTGCCAGCCGCCCGTGGGTCCGTTGCTCGTCTGCCGCTACTTTAGCCGCGGGGCCAGTTACTCCAGTATTCCGGAGCGGTAGCCGCTGTGCCAGTGTGCCTCCTGTTGCCCGTGTGTCTGCAGCTTCAGCCGTTGCCTCCTATCTCCTCTCCTCTCACTCTCTCTCCTCCTCCTCACTTGCCCGTTGTGACTACCGCTAGCTTTGCTCATAATTGTGAACCTTAAACTATTGCTTCATGAACTTGTGCTCAGAATGTGTGGTGACATTGTGATCCACCCTGAGCTTGTACTGCTTTGTTTGCTCTGCTGATTACACCCCACTTTGGCTATGGGGGTGTGTCAGAATATTATGCTCTAGCCTGTAGTGGGGTGCTCCATAGCGAGTACAACCCTTCTAGGGTTTGCTATTTGTATCCCCATTCTTGCTAGTTCAACTCTCTTCTTCTTTCTAAAATTCACATTTGTATCCCCATTCTTGCTAGTCAAACTCTCTTCTCTCTTCTAACTTTTCTCATGCTATCAGAGCAGGTCGATCCCCTTGGATCGATTCTGTGGGTGGGCTTACCACCTCCTAGCTTCCGCTGCTATTTCTACCACTACTCTCTGAGCCGCACGCCCCGTGGCGTGCGGCACTTTTTCTTCCCGCCGTGCACCCCGAGGCGCGCGGCGGTTCTCTGCCCGCTGTGCGCCCCGAGGCGCGCGGCGGGCTTCTGCCCCGTCGTTCGCCGTGTCGCCCTCTGGAGGCGCCGCGACGGGCGACGGGGACCCGCGCGTCGCCCCCCGTCGCCCGTCGTGGCCTGCGCGCCGCCCGTACAGGCAGCGCGCGGCCCGTACGGGCTGCGCCAGGACTGGCCTCGCCCTAGCCATGTCCCGTCGCCCGTCGCGGCGCACCGAGGGCACGTGCACCGCCCCCCCCCCCCCCCCCCCCTTTTCCCGTCGCCTGTCGAGGCGACCCTCCGGGGCCGCGTGCGGGAGGGACTACCTGGGGGTAGGGGGGCGAGCGCCGCCCCTTCTGCCGCCTGTTTTGGCGCCCTGGGAGGCCGCGCGTCGGTCCCCCCCCCCCCCCCCCTCCCCCGTGACCTCCCTACCCGCCATCTCACCCTGCCAGTGTTAGGGTTTGGGGGGTGGCGAGTAGGGGGTGGCGAGTATGGGGGTGGCAGTTGTGCATTCCTCCCTTTGCTCCTCCTCCTCCTTCGTCTCCCACTGCTGCAGCTGTCGCTGAGGGGGGTGGATGAGTGGGAGACTGGGGTTTAGGGTTTAAGGGGGGTGCATGGGAGTGGAGCTAGGGTTTGAGCAGTTGGCGTGTGCCAACCGTGTTAGGGTTTGCTATTTGTTAACTTTTCTCACTAGAGACGCTCCGCGCGCAGGCGAGTTGTGCGTCCCCTCGCCGACCTGGGCCAATGGACGCGAGGTCGTCGCTCCGCCAGGGCGGAGACGGGCCACCTGTGCCACTAGCGCATGCGCCCTCCGAGCCCTGCCGAGCCAGGCCCCACACCCTTAGGCGATGCTGAACGGCCCCACCCCCTTTTCATTGCGGAAGGTGGCTTCGCTCCTCATTTTCTCCTTTTCTCATTTTCCCAGACAGCTCTGCGCCTCCCCCTAGATCCGTGCTATCGTACCTTAGTCGATATGGAGCCGATCCCCGACGCCGAGAAGTCGGCGCCGACTTGGGCTGACTTTCCCCTTAGACACCGAATGGGTCGCGGTCTCAGCTTCACCTTCGAGTGGGACGGCTTCCCCGCCCTTCGCGACCAGAAGAAAGAGTTCACCGACAGATGCTTGGGATTCGCCATCAGGTGGGACTCAAGAAGTCGCGGTTTAGGGCGTCTATCGGTTCCGACTTCCTCTAGATGGGCGCAATAAGTATATGTCGGCGCCGTCGGGGGCGGATTGTCGCAGATTGTCGCGACTTCGTCCATGGACGTCGGTCGGCATAGCAAGCGTCGATCTGGTAGCGTTTGCTTATCTGCCATCCCATCATCCCTCATGCCCACTCGTGCGCCCAGGTACGCTTGGTTTTGCAATGAACTGAACGGCCAGAAGTTGTGGGTAATCGGAGTCGGCCCGCTTCGATCGGCCTTGAAGGCCGCAGACCATTCTTGCTTTACTACGGTTTTCGACACCGACATCGCCGCCATCCCGTTAAGCACGACGTGAGTTGTTTCCCCGTTGTCCAGTTATCGTTTTGTTTAGTCGGTCGCATCATCGCCTAATGTTGTGGTCGACGCCGTCGTGTATTGCTTGTGCAGCAGCGGTCCGCTTCCAGGGTCACACTGCAGCGTCATAGCCATCCTCTACCCAGGAGATCTGCTGAAGGCTGAGGGACAGGTCTGCAGGACCTCGATCCAGCACATCGACCCGCATACCGGGAAACTGAAGCACCGCGACGAGGCCGTACGCGTGCTGAAGTAAGTTGTGAATAGTCGTCGATTTCCCGCTTGTTATTCGCCGACCCAGGGTATCACATGCTGACCGCCTTCCTTTACCACGATTCTCCAGGCTATTCCGCAAGGCAGTCCTGGCTGAGGTGGGGCGTCCCGGTAGGCAGTGGGACGGGGCACCGCCATCACAAGCAGTGGTGGAGGACAGGCTTGCCGACTACGACCACCCTATCCGCGACGTGAGTTGCACGTTACACGTTTATCCATTAAGGAGGGTGCACGTTTCTGTATGCTCCGCTCACAATGTTATGCGTTTGTCGGTGTTGTATGCAGAAAGTGCCAGACAGAGTGTCGGACGAGAAGGTCGGCACCCGCATGCTTGCCGCGACGTCGTTCAGGTGGGTGGCCGAGCAGGTTGACCTGCTGACGGGCGAGAAGGGCCGTGGTGCGGTGAGACTCGAGAACATCAAGACAAAGGGGCTAAAGTCGTTGCGAGACAGCATGGTGGAGTACATCTGCAAGCGCATCGCCGAAAAACGCTATGCGGCACCGACATCACAACCCGCCGACAGTGTGATTGATGACGACGGCGCGGAAATACAGACGGCGCCCCAAGCAGCAGTTGCCGCCCAGCATCAGAGGAACGCGAAGGTGTCCACGGAAGGAGGAAACGGTGGTGGAGGAGGCAACGCTGCGACAGGTGGAGGAAGGAAGGAAGAGGAGGAGTTGGAGGAGGATTCGGAGTTGGAGTCGGAGTCGGAGTCTGAGGAGGAGGCGGAGAAGCGGAAGGACAAGGACGAGGAGGAGGAGGAGGAGAAGGACGAGAAGGATGACGGCGATGAGGAGGAGGAAGGGAAGGATGAGGAGGGGGAAGGGAAGGATGGGGAGGGGGAAGGGAAGGATGAGGAGGGGGAAGGGAAAGATGGGGAGGGGGAAGGGAAGGATGAGGAGGGGGAAGGGAAGGATGGGCAGGGGGACGGGAAGGATGAGGAGGGGGAAGGGAAGGATGGGGAGGGGGACGGGAAGGATGAGGAGGGGGTGGAGGAAGCGGTGGAGTACGAGGTGGATTTCGAAGAGGAGGAAGCTGCACTAGAGGCGGTGGGGTCGGTGGATGAAAATAACGAGGAAGCGGAGGATGGCGATTCGGGTAATGATACGAGGTCGGCAGATGGGGGGAAGGAGAAGGATGAGGTCGGCATGGAGGCAATGACGGAAAAGGGCCAGGAGGAGGCGGCATGCGAAGGTGGGAAGGTGTCGGTCGACGCCGGCAAAGCGGCAAACACCACGGGCGTGCAGGAGACGGGGGACGCTTCTGGTCGGCAGGGTAATGAGCTGGACGACGTCGAGCAGGTGCGACGGGAGAACTGGCTGTTGAGGGCGGAGAACGCTCGGCTGGCGACGTTGCTCGATGCGGAGCAGGCTCGGCTGGACAGGTTTTTTGTTGGGATACATGGACTTGTCGACCACGTGAAGGAGTTGGCCGAGCAGGTCGACGACACCGATAAGTATGCGGCGGAACAGCTGCGAAACGCGACGGCGGCCATGTCGAAGACAATCACGGGCAACATCACCGGCAGCTTCGACGAAGCGTGGAAGACGATGAAGACCTTCGCGGAACAGGCGACGGCGTGGTTGGAGGACTTCGACAACCCGCAGGGTCGTGTGGCAGTTGCACGCGCAGTAGCGTTCGATGCGTTGGCCGAGCATGTGACTGGGGTGGTGGGCGAAGCGCAGCGGGGTTTGGAGCTGTACATCACGACGCAACTATCCGCCGCGCAGGTCAACATCGCCACCGCTGTGACCACCAGGCTCCCCGTGCAGCCGCCACCACCGCCTCCGCCCACGCCGCCCGCCCTCCCGGAAGAGCTCTTGAAGTCGTTCAAGGCCGACATTATGAAGGCGGTGACGGAGGCCACCCAGCAGTCTTTCGTCGCTTCCGGGATGAAGATGATGGCCGAGATGGTCGGCACTGTGGCGCCTGGTCGACGTGGGTCGTCGCCGTCGGCCAATGACGCCGATCACGCGCAACGGAAGACGGCCGACAAGCAGGTCCTGAAGAGGACGGGCGACGGAGACGACAAGGAGAGCGCGAAGGGCGACGCGAAGCGGAGCAAGGGATCGGACGGGAGCCGCGGCTCGAAGCCTGCGCCACAGAGCGTGGTCGGCCAGTTGAACACGAAGGCGGGGTGGAGGGTGATAAGGACGTCGAACACCAAGGGTGGCGGAAGCGGGACGGCAGAGAGTGGCCCTGCCGACGGGGCTGCCGCTAACGTCACCGCTCAGCCAGGCCCGCCTTTGCTCACCGAGAAGAGCCATCCTCAGGCGAGCGGTGGGAAAGTCATGACTGACAAGGAGGTCCCAACTGCTCAGGCGGCGGAAGATGGCGGCGCCGGAACCACCAAGGGACCGTCCGTCGCTGTGGCGGCCAAGGGCAAGACGAAGGCTGCTTCTGCTACGGTCGTCGGCACCACCAAGTGCCCTCCCCGTAACCCCCCTGCGGCTACCAGCGCGCCTGCCGGCCAGTCAGGTGCGACCAAAGATGGGGAGGCCCGTGCGCCCCCTCCAGCTCCAGGAGCCCTGGCTGCCGTCAAGGGCGGCGCGAAGGCTGCTTCGGCTAAGGGCGCTGCTCCGGCATCAGCTAAGGGGCCCCCCGGTGCTGACACGCTCAGGGAGATGCTCCGCCGCATGGAGGCACATAGCAGGGACGTGCAGCAGCATCCCGTGGTCGACGCCGGCCTTGCCGGAACAACACGTCGCTCCGTCACTCCGCAGGTTGCCGGCACATCGTCCGGGGCCCCACCTGCAGCGCATCCGGTCGCCGCCCCAACGCCTGCGGACTCCAAGTCAGCGTTTCTGCGCGCCCATTTAGTCGGACGCAAAGCGGCTGCTCCACCGGTGACTCAGCAGGAACACGGCAAAAGCGCGACGACGACGTTGGTAAACGCGACCGCACCCTCACCAGGTGCAGCTGTGGTCGATGCAGCGGCAGAGAGGGGAGTGAGTGCAGCGCTAGCCACCGGCGGCCGCGCCGACAAGCATGCCGCACTCGCTGCCTTCCTGGCCCATTTTGATGCAGCAGAACGCCCTGAGCACGCCCCTGCACTGGCCATCATGGACACGGCGCATGTGGGGCCGTCGGCGACCCACGGTGGGGGGTCGGCGGAGCCGACGGCTGCAACGGGTGCTGTCGCCGAGAGTAGTGCGGGAGGGAAGGGGAAGGTCGACACCGGGAAAGGGAGCGCGGTCTCTTAGAGGAGCACGCAGGCGATGTCGGCGGGGAAGGAGATGTCGGAAGAGAAAGGGAAGAAGTCGGAAGGGAGTCAGGACAAGAAGGGCGGCAAGAGTAAGCCGGGGAAGAAGGAGAAGGCGGAGGAGGATGACGAGGAGGGCGGCGAGGGAGATAAGGAACGCAGGGGGCATGGCATCCGCCAAGACAGATCCGGCGACGGGCATGGGTGGGTGCGCGAGATTAAGGTAAACGGACGGAATCGATACATCGGCAAGTCGAGGGAGAAGATGGAGTTGGCCTACGAGCACGCGATTGCGTACGTCGTCTACGACGGCTACGTGAGCAAGGTGCTCATGAAGGAGCTCACCGTCTTGAAGCCGGGGGAGTTGGAGAAATGGAAGGAGATGTGGGAGGAGGTCAAGTTCTTACCAACTGGGTTGTGGACGGTGATGTGGGCCAGAGGCTTGTGCCATCCGAGAGCAAGGTAAGACGGCTACCGACGCGCCGAGTTCTGTCGACCATGTCGGTGTCATTACGCTACAGTCGGTTTCGTTTTAATGTGTTTGTGCGGCAGGATCGACGACATACTCGGCAGGTACCGTGGGTACGCAAGGTCAGGTGATGCGCTTCATGGGGTGCTCTGGCCGGCGATCTGGTTCCCCATCATCGAAAACACGGAGGAAGGCAAGGAGGAGACGGAGGCTCTCATGTCGGCGATGGTGAATCGCGTGTCGATGTGCGCGGCGTATGGGAAAGTCGCGGCGAGCGCGGCGTTTGGGAAGGTTGACGCGAGCGTAGAAGGGAATGCGGGAGAGAAGATGGGGATGGAAGGCGCGGAGGGGAAGGCGGACGAGAAGACGGAGATGGCGGCCCAGGCGTTAGCGGCATCTGCATGCGCCCTCTGGTGCTTTGTGGAGACGGGAGCATCGTTGCTCGGTGCTGTGGGCGAAGGGAAGGCGGCGGCGATGGTGGCAGGTGCGGAGGAGAAGAGGGCCGAGGCATTCAAGAAGGTGATGCACGCGGTGATCGACTTAGCACGCAGTCGGGAGGCTCCTGCGGGGGAGGTTGCCCATAACGTCGCGCCATCGCTGCAGCGCCACGCAGTGGTCAGGGCCTTCGAGGAGGGAGTTGAGGAAGTCGAGGCCGACATGATCGCCAGAGAAAAGGTCGAGACCTTGGCGTTCTGGGGAATGTGCCCCGTCGTTGGGCCCAAGCTCAAAGAGCAGGGCATCGATGTGCAGTGTGACGCGAAGATGGAGTACGATATGGATCACAGGGGGAGGAAGGGAGAGAAGGTCAAGCAGGGCAAGGGCAGCAAGAGGAAGAAGGGCAAGGAGGGCAAGGGCAGTACAGATGCGTAGTTGGCGGGCTGTGGTGTGCGGGATGCTATGGTATGGTTGGCACCGATGTTGTAGTAAATCTAATGACTTTTTTATCATAGGGCACGATTCTTCTTCGTTTCTGTTTGCTTCACTTTGTGATGACCCTAAACTCTACTGTTCATATTGAAACTTGCTAGCCGTCTTTGAACGATGAGCCTTGTCGGCGCATCTGTCGACATCAATAAGAACATGCTACTCGGCGACGAGCTATAACTAGGTAAATGTCGACAGCCTAGCAACATGCAAACCTGCGAGACGTCGACATCTATCTGTGTTTTGATTAGTAATGAGCGACCGACTACATTTAACACGGCGGGATCAAGTAGGTTTGCAATGGCCTTGCTGTGGGTTGTTACAAACTAGCAGAACAACATTTGAAAAAGGGGGGGGGCGGGGGGGGAGGGGGGCTCAAAGTCTGCCACAGTTAACAGCATCGAACTACGCACACGCATATCCTACAAGCGCGCTCATGCTGACTTCTTCCGCTTGGTCGGAGGACGGTGCACCGGAGCGGTCGGTTTGGCCGGTACTGTCGACTTGGCCGGTGCCGTCGGCTTCGCCAGGTCGGCCTTGGTCTTCGGCATCTGCTCCTCCCACGTGTCTGAAAACAAGGTTTCGACCCAATCACTCTGCTTCAGGTTGAGCGCCACAAGCGCACAGGCGAGGCGTAGCTTCGAGACCACCTTGGGGCCTAGCCCCTTGACTCCCATGCCAGCCTCTTTGGACAACATCGGTGACGTTCCCGGTTTGAGCACCGTGAGGGCATCGGCGAAGGTCCTGATGCCTGATGCCGCGATCCTGTGCAGTGTGTCGACCACGGCTTCGGTGTCGGCTTTGCCGTCGCTCGCGCGTAGCTGGCGCACCGCATCCATGACCTTCAGCATGCGGCGCACCCTCTTGTTGAGTGCACCCTGCGTCGCGCCGGCGAGGAGGGTGTGGCGGTCGATGAACCCCGGCTCGGCGATCCTGTCGCAAAGCCGACGGGTGTCATTAGCGGTGATGGAGTTCCAGAGGCGCCAGGCGTCCCTCACGGTCTTGGCCTCCCGCCACGGTTGTACCACGTTGAGCTCGTAACTAGCCTCCTCGTCCGTCTGTGGGGGTGGTGGGGGTTTGTCGTCCCCTCCGTCGGCGCCGGCTCCCATGTTGGCAGAATCCGCCGAGCCACCCTCGCTGGGAGATTGCACGGTAGCACACGGCGGGGCCTCCGGTACTCTCCGTGCTTCTGACACACGAAGTGCCTCGGTGAGACAGGTTATCTCGGCGGTGAGAGACGCGATGGTGTCGTCGCGCTTCTCGAGCTCCTCCTAAAAGTCAATCTTCTCTTCGCGGCGCGCTCGATCACCTTCGTCAGCGTCGCCTTGAGGGATATGTTGTAGTACTCGGTGTCCATGCGGACAGAGATTTCCTGCAGCGGTAGGACAAAGACGTTAGCCGCGAGGTGGTTTGGAATGCCCTACATCCAGCTCGTCGTCGACTTACCTGCCTGAATTTGGGTCGGGTCCCGACGCTTGTTGATCGTCTCGGTGTCGACCCGTTTTGCCCTCTGCTGGAAGAGGGGGATCCGGCAGAGCAGGGAGCCTTGGACGTACGGGTGCCATGGTGTGCGGACCAGCTTCACCGCTAGGTCCTCGGCGACGATGCGGCGCAACATCGCGAGTGTGCGCCAGAAGTGCACCGCGGCTTTGTCGGCATCGGACCCCTCGGCAGCCTTCCCTTCCGCCTGCAATTCGTCACGTGTATTAGAAGTTCAGACACTGTCAGCAACACGACTCGGAAACAAGGATACGAGGGCGTTGACTAGCATACCGTCTTCAGCATGTCGTCGACGCTGGGGAAGATGTGCTCGGCGAGGAGCTTCAAGAGCTTATCGGAGGGCTCCACCCTGCTCTGGCCCAAGAAGTAGTCCTGCTTGTAACCAGAGTAACCGGCCTTCTTCATCACCACCCCCACCGGAATGGCGGTGATCTACGCTCGCGTCATCTTGTCGAGCGCCCAGTGACCCAGCTCCGCGATCTCGGCGCGCGGCGTGCCGTCGATGGCCAGCTCCTGGGCCCCTCCGGCTCGAGCGGCGTGCACGTACCTCTTGCAGAAGACCCCGTTTTTGTCCCACAACTGCCGCGTACAGCGTTGGTGGCTTACCGTAGAGGGCTCCCCTTGGTCGGTGTCGTTTTTAGCGAAGAAGAGGTGCTTCTTGTACCAGCTCGCGCGTGTGCTGGTGTCCACCGGCGGAATGAGGCGGATGCCGTGAAACTGGCCGATCTGGTCGAGGATGAAGTGCAACCACAGGCCCGTCTCGCCGACGGCGCACAACTCCACTTTGAGGTGCCGCGCAGCGTAGCTCTGCTGCAAACGCGCATCCTTGGACGCCTTCGAGTTCCGCGCAGCGATGACCATGACGACCGGCTGGTTCTCCGGGTTCACCGACGAGGTGCTCGCCAGTCGGTACAAGAATATGTCGGGGAGCGTGATCTCGCGGATGCTTGCGCCGCGCAGGAGAGAATGGTAGGAGAGTAGCGTGAGCACCTTCAACAGCAGAAACCGCCACAGCGTCTGCGACGGGCCCGTACCCCGCGGGTTCCAAGCCTTAGCCGCCCACGTCGGCAGCACCCTGAACATGATCTGGCGGAACTGTTCTGCGGTGTAGGTATCGCCAATGGTTCCGCGACGCCGATCGGTGCAGTTCCTGCCGACAATGCCGAGGGTAAGGGGCATTTAGGGAGACGTCGACACAGTACATGACAACAAGAGAGTGGTCGACAGAGGTTAAACAAAAACTCACTTGAGGTCCCGCTCGTTCTTGGTGCGGATCATGAACCGCACCTCCGACCTGACCACCGATATCTCACGCATGATGCTCAGGTCCATCTCCCAATATATCCTCACCTCCACTCTCGCCGCCATCTAGCATGCCTTTATGCGCCCGAGAAGCGTGTGCACCGTTGTAGATTGCACAGGCTGTGTTCCTGTGGCGTTGTCGCCCTCCTTGCTGGACTCGGCATCGAGCTTCATCTCCCGAACCATGTACTTCACGTATGCGCGAAGCCGGGACGGGGTGACCCTAGGGCCGTGCAGCCACACGTGCGACCGGGGGACATCGGCCTCTTGGTCCCAGTTCTTCTTCTTGTCGTCCTGGATGTAGTGCCCTATCTCGTCGACGCGCTTAAGCCTGTACTCCTAGGGAAGCTTGTTGCGAATTTGCATCAACATCTTCGCCGCCCACCTGTTGTAGTGGTAGATCCACGAGGTGTACTGCCTCAGCGTGCTGTTCCTCTCCACGGTCTGCAGGTGGCGTAGGGCGTCCAAGACGAGCACGTCGATGGTCGCGTACACCATGTCCTCCTCGACGAAGTCTGCTACCCTCCACTATTCGCGTGGCACCGACAAGTTCTCCTGGTCGGCATCCTCGTCCTGTTCGAGCAGATCATCTATGTGTTCAAGTTCCCGCCTGAGCCGTTCTTCCAAGGTGCGCTGACTAGTGCTACGCGGCGGACGCTCGTTGTTTTCGTCATCGCTTTCCTCCTCCTCCTCCTCCCCCCCATCCTCCTCCTCTTCGACCTCAACCTGGTTTCCAGAGCCGGCCGGTGCCGACGAAGTTCCTGGCCGTCCATTTCGCGTCGGATTCTGTTTCTTTTTCTCGTTGAACTCCCCGATCGGCGGTGGGGGAATGTCCTTGGTGAACTCCCCTTCCGAAATCTGCGTCAGCTGGTCAAGATCGTAGAGTAAGAGGAGCGTCTCTTCCTCGGTAGATGTCGGACTGTGGTCGGTGGATGGTCTAGCGTCAGTCATGTCGACGTCGGCCATGTGGCAGCACGTATGTTGCTCTACCGTCGTCCGTTTGCGATGCGGAGGTCGGTAAACCAGAGACGGTACTGATTCACGGGTGCGGTGTACGACCGAAGAGTAGCGCGGCGGTCTTCCTCTAGATAACGTTCAATAACGTCTAACTCGTGTTCGACCTCGTTATTGTTTGGGTCGGTAAACCAGAGACGGTAATGAGTCACGGGTGCGGTGAACGCGCGTAGAGTTGCGCGGCGGCGGTCTTCTTCGAATTCTCGCTCAAGTGCGTCTAACTCGGCTTCGACCTTTAGCCGTTCCAACTGCGCTTTGATGTCGGCGTCTACAGAGTCGGCAGGGGGTGGAATGGGTGTCAGAATGTTATGCTCTAGCCTGTAGTGGGGTGCTCTATAGCGAGTACAACCCTTCTAGGGTTTGCTATTTGTATCCTCATTCTTGCTAGTGTAACCCCTCTTCTTCCTTCAAAATTTTCACATGCTATCAGAGCAAGTCGATCCCCTTGGATCGATCCTGTGGGTGGGCTCACCACCTCGTTGCTTCCGCTGCAACTGCCACTGCTACTCTCTGTGCCGCACGCCCCGTGGCGTGCGGCAGTTTTTCTTCCCGCCGTGCGCCGCCCGCCGTGCGCCCCGAGGCACGCGGCGGTTCTCTGCCCGCTGTGCGCCCTGAGGCGTGCGGCAGGCTTCTGCCCCGTCACTCGGCGCGTCGCCCTCGGGAGGCGCCGCGACGGGCGACGGGGACCCGTGTGTTGCCCCCCGTCACCCGTCGTGGCCTGCGCGCGGCCCGTACAGGCAGCGCGCGGCCCGTACGGGCTGCGCCAGGCCCGGCCTCGGCCAGTACGGGCTGCGCCAGGCCCGCGCGCAGCCCGTACGGGCTGCGCCAGGCCCGCGCGCGGCCCGTACGGGCGGCGCCAGGCCCGCGCGCGGCTCGAGCCGCCTGCGCGCGGCTCGGGCGGCTGTGCCAGGCCCGTGGGCGGCCCGTTTCTCGCTGCTCCTGCCCTCCCCGCTGTCCCCCGTGCTTCTGCTGATGCCCCACCCCACCTACTGCCCATTCTCCTGAATTAGGGTTTGGGGGTGGGGGGTATGGGGGTGAAGCCACTGTGTGCTGTTCCCTACTCCTCCTCCTCCTCCGTCTCCCTGTGCTGCAGCTACCGCTGAGGAGGGGTGGACTTGTTGGAGCCGTTGGAGTGGTACTAAAGGGGGGTGAAGGGGGAGTGGAGCTAGGGGTGTAGCAGTGGGTGTGTGTCAGGGGGAGTGGGATGGTTTGGGGAGGTTGAAGGGGGTGGCCGCCGTGAAGCCAGCAGCTCCAGTCGCCCGTGAGACCGTTGCGCCAATTGCCCGTAAGCCCGTTGCGCCAGTCGCCCGTGAGCCCGTTGCTCCAGTTGCCCGTGAGTCCGTTGCTCGTCTGCCGCTACTTTTAGCCGCGGAGCCAGTTACTCCAGTAGCCCGTGTGCCAGTTGCTCCAGTTGCCAGTGTGCTAGTTGCTCCAGTTGCCCGTGTGCCAGTTGCTCCAGTTGCGCCGTGTGCCAGCAGCTTCAGCTGCCACCCACTATCTCCTCTCCTCTCATAGTCTCTTTCCTCCTCCTCACTTGCCCGTTGTGACTACCACTAGCTTTGCTCATAATTGTGAACTTTAAACTATTGCTTCTTGAACTTGTGCTCAGAATGTGTGGTGACATTGTGATCCACCCTGAGCTTGTACTGCTTTGCTTGCTCTGCTGATTACACCCCACTTTGGCTATGGGGGTGTGTCAGAATGTTATGCTCTAGCCTGTAGTGGGGTGCTCTATAGCGAGTACAACCCTTCTAGGGTTTGCTATTTGTATCCTCATTCTTGCTGGTGCAACCCCTCTTTTTCCTTCAAAATTTCCACAATGGGTTGCGGCTGTTGTGCTCTAGGGCGACCTCTGGCCATGCGTCGCCGACTGACGTTGACGTCGACGTCTACTGACCAAGTCGGCAACCGAGTAACCTACTGGCAGCTGAAAATTCTAAGTGCACGAGAGAGCAGGAAGAAACGCAGGAACGGACGTGGGAATGAGCAGGCCCGCACGGTCATGGACGGGTATGGTCCTGAGTGACTCCGACGCTGTCGCGATTCACGCAAACCCCTATGCTCCTGCCGCCGTGCATGTGTTCTCGCATAGGCGGCGCACTGCCCGAAGTGCCACGCGCCAAGCATGGCTATTGTGACTTCGCGCTGCACCGAAGGGGCGTAAGCCAGGCCCTTTCCACGGTGGAATGGGCGTGTGTTACGTGGCTTGGGGCCGACATTGGCCTCTCAGTACCGAAATTACTGCATGCAGGCTCGAATCTCCCAGGGTTCCGGAATTCTTGAATCCCACCGTGGCAGTCCTACCGTGGGCGCCCAAAGATCGGCGCCGACTTACATTCGGCGCGCTTGGTTGTTTCCTTAGGTTCGTTGAACATAGACAGCGTTGGGATTGTGCCGCCTGGCTTGGTTGTGGGCCTCTGGATGTACTGGTCGACACCGACATCGCATGCAACACGCGATGCCACAGAACAGTTACATCCTGGACGGTCCGATTTTTGCCGCGTGGATCGAGCTGGCCCATTTTCAAAGGTGTGAATGTTTTCCCGCTTTGCGAAAATCACCGCTGGGGCGACGCGTAGCCACGACGGCCACGTCGTGGCAGCCTAGTACACGGTGGGGACGGTCCGGCTCCCCCCTACTGGTCCGCGTGGCGGCAGTCGCGGCTCGACGTGGCGAGCTTTCCTATTTTGTCCGCTGAGATTTACTTCTCAGGAATCTCCCAGCGCAAACGTATGTCGTCGGATTGTCGACATTCCTGAGTGCTCCCGAGGCCCCTGAGACGTCATTTGGGCCCAGCTTGGAGCTCGGAGGTCGTCGCGAGCTCGTCAATCCCGAGGGGGGCCCTTGTCCCTTCTGAACCGCGAAATTGGGCGGCGTTTTTCGTCGGCTGAGGTATATCATCCCCTAAGACGATTTCGTCGCCTCTTGTTTTTTTTTTTTTTTGAACCAGTTGATAGTGACTGATTACGTGAAACGTTTTATCAGTCGAGTGAAAACACCCTTAGCAGTGACCGTACCCTTTATTTTCTTACCATAATGTTATCGAGTCCCATGATGGTTACGAATGGCATATTTTCCCCTACAAAGAAAACATTTGCCTTTTCCTCTGACGATGTAGCGCGATGTCGGAGAGAACGCTCTCCCACGCGCGGGCTCGAAAATTGTCAGTCCGTGAGACACATCACGCACGATCTCGTATACAGTTACCAGAGGTTTCGCCGACGTTTCTCTCTGATATCCCAGCAAACACATATTACCACTCTGAAACAGACCAAAACACGCACCGAACCACCGCGCATCCCATAAATGTTTTCATTCTTGACTTTATCCTCGCCCCAACCCACTCTGCTTTCATGATCTGAACTGACAGTCCCATCCCATCCCGTGTCTGTTCCGCTGCACCACTCAGTCGGTCAGCACCAAGTACAGTATGTCCCACCTAATGCTGTTCCATCCCGCCTGTTTGTGAAAATGCAGTCTATTCGTAGATCTAGCGTCTCATAGGAATGCTGCTACTTTAGAGTGTAGGGCAGGACGCCAGAGAGTAGAGTTCTTTTCACTCAATTCTCCTCGGTAACTCCCAGCCAGCTCAGTCTCTGTCGATCCCGCCGCCACAACATCAGCATTGGCTGATCTCTTGATCCATGCGCTTGATGCCACGAGCGCCCCGCCAATGTCGGCACCGACTGACCTCTTGTGCCTGGACTCCTCTCCGGTCGACCGCCTTTCGGACGACATACTGGGTCGCATCTTCAGCTACGTTGAACCCGTCGCTTATGGCGAGTCGCCAGCGCCATGTTCGCAGCAGCAGTTGGACCGCCTCCGCCACCCTCCTTCGCAGCCTGCACCGTATCGCTCCCAGCCATCCTCCGTCGGCCAACGACGCGATTCGTCTCATGATCTCACCGGGATCTCTAACTCTGGATCTAATAAGATTGACGGTGGTTACTCCCTCGTCTGTCGTCGATGGTACCGTGTCGCCTGTGCGACCCGCTCGCACGTCGCACTGTCGCCTGAGCGACGGCTGTGCACCCGGCGATTCTTGAAGGGCGTCGCTTCGTTCCCGTCGCTGACGTCAATATTTCTGCCAGATGGCAGCCTCTCATTGGCCAACGATCACCTCCTCTCTCAATTAGCTGCCACGTGTCCATCGCTTACTCGCTTCCATCTCGGTAACATGGCCGAGCCGGTTACCATTCGCGGCAGGCGCGTCGCGTCCACGTCATCTCGTCCTGACCACCGCGCCGCCTTCACTGAAGCCGGGCTGGAGTCGCTTTTCTCTTCCTACCCGGGGCTCGATTCCCTGGAGCTGCACTGCCCACCAAATCTGACCACTCTTCCTCCGTCAATCTGCAGGTTGACTCGCTTGACGGCGTTAAAAATCACCGCTCGGGGACTGAAACGCCTTCCTGACGGATTCCGTCAACTCTCCGCTCTCGTCAGTCTATCAATCCACTCAGAAGCCTTGGAGAAGCTTCCAGCCGGCTTCGCGACGGATATCGACGAGACTGTAGAAACTTCCATTCGACCGATTGGTTCTAGCATCTCAGATGCGTATGCGAATGCGAACGCAGCAGATGGATCGGAGAACGTCGCTCGTCAGAATAGTATCATACTGCCTCAGGATGATAACTCTTCGATTGTTGCTTCGCTCGCCCCCCTCGCCTCTCTCTCCCTCTCGAACACCCCCTCTCCCGCACTCCTCTCCGCCCTCCGCCACCTCTCCCTCGACCGCTGCCGCGCTCTCCGCGCGCTCCCCTCATCCCTCCCCGCCGCGCTCCCACTTCTCGAAACCCTCGAGCTCCGCGAATGCGCCTTGCTTTCCGCCGTCCCCGCCTGCTCCCCGCGCGCCTCCCCCGCCTCCGCGCGCTCACCCTCACCTACCTCTCCTCCCTGCGCACCCCGCTCCCCGCGCTCCTCTCCGCATTCTCCCCGCCTGCTCCCGGCGCAGCGGAGGAAGCGGAAAACAGTCTTCCCGGGGCAGTTTCGGAAGGGGAGAACGGGGGAGCTTGTAAGGAGGATGCGGGGGAGAGCAGGGCGGGACTGGCCCGGCTGGAGCTACTGGGATGGAAGCAGATGCAGGAGTTACCCGCCGAAGCACTCACCTCTCTCTCCGCCTCCCTCACTCACATCACCATTTCCAACTGCCCCGCCCTCTCCTCCCTCCCGGACGAGCTTTGCCATCTGCCCCACCTCCGCTCCCTCACTCTCTCCTTCCTCCCACTCCTCACCTCCCTCCCTGCCTCCCTCCACCTCCTCTCCCACTCACTGCACCATATAGACATCACCTCGTGTGATTCGCTGCAGAGTCTCCCCGCGTCCCTTACCGCCCTCTCCGCCCTGCGCTCCTTGAATGTCTCCGCCTGTGGCGCCCTCGCCCGCCTGCCGTCCGCGCCTGCGGCGCTGCCGTCCGTTCGTGCTGCACGGGGGGGAGCAGGTGCGGGGAATGGCAGCAGCAGCAACACCACTACCACTAGCAGCAGCACCACCGCCAGCAGCAGCAGCAGCGGTGGCAGCGGAGGGATCCTTGACACCAGCAGCACCACCTCCACTTCCCACGCGCCCCTCTCCCTACTCCCATCGCTCACCAGCCTGCGCGTCGCTCTCTGTGCGCGCCTCACCGCTCTCCCTCGCACCTGGATGCACCTGCCGTCGCTGCAGGAGCTGATCGTGGACGGTAACGGCCAAATGGAGTCACTCTTTGACGGGGATGACACTGTTCATAATGATACTGTTTATTATGACACTGTTCAGTCTGACACTGTTCCTCCATTCCCCTCTCCTCTCCCCTCTTTGCATTCCCTCACTGTCTCCAACTGTCCTCGCATCTCCCGCCTCCCTGCCTTCCTCTCCTGCTCCCCCACTCTCCTCCACTTGAAGCTGCACGACCTCTCTGCTCTCGCCCTCCTCCCGTTTCACACCGCACCCAATGCTGATGTAACGGGTGTGACTTTAACGGGTACAGATGTGGTAGCTGGCGTTGCTGCTGCTGCTGCTGCTGTAGGATCGGACACACTTGAAGGGTCCGGTGGGATGATGGGATTGGTGACACTTCACATTGACTTGAAGGACAACACGCACATCACACACCTCCCTCACTCACTCTTCTCCCTCCCCTCCCTCGCCACCCTCACTCTCTCACACCTCTCGCACGTCGCCTCCATCCCCCACTCCCTCTCCCTCCTCGCTCCCACCCTCACTCACTTGCACATCAGCCACTGCCCCTTGCTGACCGCCCTCCCCTCCTCCCTCTGCCGCCTCTCCTTCCTGCGATCCCTTGTCATCCAATCATGTGCGTCCCTGACGTCTGTCTTGGGAGACGGAGCAGGAGAGGCAGGAGAAGTGGGGGAGGGGGAGGGAGGTGGAGAAGGAGAGTGGGAGAGGGAGTGGGAGGGAAAGGAGGGGAAGCGGGAGGAGGAAGGGGAGGGAAAGGGGGAAGTGGGAGAGGGGGAAGTGGGAAAAGGGGAAGTGGGCGAGGTGGGGAATGTGGAGGATATGAAGCAGCATCATGGTATGGCTGCTATGTACTCGTTAAAGGTACTCTCAGTCTCGGACTGTGAATCACTGACACACCTGCCGTCAAGCATCAGCCTGCTACCTCATCTCACCTCCATCTCTCTCAACTCCACAGCCTCGCCACGCTACCACCCTCCCTTCCCTTAGGCCCCTCCCTCACCACCCTCACTCTCTCCTCCTGTGATCGCCTCTCATCCCTCCCCCCAACCTTTGGGCTCTTGTCCAGCCTCTGGACCTTGAAACTTTCTAGCCTGCCCAGTCTCGCTGTCCTGATTCTTTCGGGCACCTGTCCCACCTGGAGCAATTTACCCTACACGACTGCTGCTTGCTGCGCTGCCTGCCTGACTCGTTCCCCCACCTTCCCCGATTGGCCCGGCTCAGCATCGCCAACTGCAGTAAACTCGAGGGTTTACCAGCAAATCTAGGGTTACTTTCATCTCTGGAATGGTTGGAGCTGGAATGCCTGCCAAAACTTTCCGAGCTGCCTGAGACAATAAGCCAGCTGCCCAGGCTTTGGCAAGTGGAGATCCGAGGATGCAAGAGAGTGAAAGGCGTTCCAGAGTGGTTAAGCGCAATGCCAGAGGTGGACCTTGTTGTATCATACCGGTAAGTGGTGTGTTGAGTGAACTAGTCAGCAGTGAAGTCTTTGGCAAGTGGGTTGGATGGCGAACGGGGTGTATGTGTGTCTGATACGGCAGCGCCCGTAGCAGTGAGTTGTGTATTACATATATTTGATCCACAATGTGCTGGGCTGAAAGTCATCCCCTGATGCCCATGTGACTGCCACCTGAGGCATGCAGCATGCTGCAAAGGCTCTGTCAAGACTAGTCAACTGGAATACAGGGAGTGACAGATGCTGTGATTTAGATTGGTGGCCTGAGTAGTCTGGGTGGAGAAAGCTGTAATGGGCGGACAGACCTGGTCCGGTAGTACATACCAAATGACTTCGTGCCTCAGACTTAACAAGATTTGAATATATGCTTGATTATGATTGATGCTGAACGAGGCCTAGAATTACAGGATAGTGGTACTCCCTGTCAATAAATGGGACCTTCTAACCAGGGCGGCAGGAAGAGAGAGAGGAGAGAGCGAGAGGCGGAGGGGGCGGCTGCCTGCCTGGTCATACCCGCCAACCCCACCCACCTCCCCCCCTCCCCCCCCCCCCCACCCCCCACCGCGGCAGGCACTGTCAGGAGAGGGAGGAGTAGCGGTGGCTGGTGCTGAAACCACGCTCCCGTCAACTCCTCAAACCCTCCCCCCCCCCCCCCCCCCCCCCCCCCCAACAGCGGGGGCGCGAAGCTCAGCTCGCTGAGTCGATACCCTAGCGAGCGTACTTCTGGATCAACTCAAGAAGCTTCTCCTTACTCGCTCCAACGAGTTCGTCCGCCTTCTCCCCGTTCACGAACACAAGGAAGGTTGGCATGACGGTAATGTTGAACTGCTCTGCCACTGCCTGCAATGTTCGGAAGCAAGATTCGGAAGCAAGGTTCGGAAGCAAGGTTCGGAAGCAAGGTTCGGAAGCAAGGTTCGGAAGCAAGGTTCGGAAGCAAGGTTCGGAAGCAATGTTGGGAAGCAATGTTGGGAAGCAATGTTCGAAAGCAATGTTCGAAAGCAATGTTGGGAAGCAAGGAACCCTTTAGCGATCTCAAAGTGACGGAAATTATTGGTAAAGGGCAGATAAAAACAGGTCTCGACAAAGCGACAGGCAGGACAAATCATGGAGAAGACGAACCGAAAGATCGTCGACATCCACTTTAAGAAAGGTGATGGATTGATATTGAGTCGCATAGTTTTCAAAAACCGGGCCGATTGCCCGGCAAGGGCCGCACCAAGTCGCTGTGAAATCCACAATGACCTGAAAAATGAAGGAGCACCAAGGTCAGAAACTTAATCAAGTTCAGGTGCGACGGCTATCGATTGTAGCCAGCACAGTACAAAAACGAAACATAGAATCGATTCTCGGCATGCGAGAGCATAACGTAACTGCAGACCCAGCCGCGACAGCGACGCTGAGAGCTAGATCGACGCAGTTCAGCTCACCACTTCGGCGTTGAGGAGAAAGGACCGCCACTCAGGCTCGGATCCGACAACGGAAACTCCCGCCATAGATCGCCGCGAACAAGCACCGAAACTATCAGAAACGAGGGTTACAAAGCGTGGCTGATAGCTATGCGAAATACTGGAAATTCGTACCAGCGGCTGGCCTAAATGCTGGCAGAATCAAGTTTCCTAAAATGCCTGGAACCTGGGAGTAAACATTCACGTCCAATTCATTCTTGGACCGAGGTGGAAGACCTCAGCGGAATCGGGTCGACGAGCCCGTCGACCTGTGTCGACTGGCGACCTGCTGCCCCGGGCAGAAAAAATAAACTAAACCCCCATCGGATGGCTGCTATTTTCGGCGGCTTTGCCCACACGTCAGTCCATCCGGGCCCTGGTGGCTTCGAACCCACCAGGTCCCCCTCCTGGTGGGAAGGGGTTCCCACCAGGGCCGCACGCCGATGCAAGGGCTGTCGCGGCCCCCAGCTGGGAGTCGCACGCGGGAGGGAGTGCCCCGCCCCCTCCCAGGTCCCTAGCGAGATCCGGGCGGCGGAGCGGGCTGGCGGGGTGGTCCCGGCCACGCCAGCGCCACGCAGCGTGGTCCCAAACCCGGGCCCAGCCCTGGCTCGCGAAACCCCTCGCGAAACCCCTCGCTCTCCAATCCGAGGGCGTGGGCCGAACCCCGGCGCGCCGAGACGGATCCGGCCAATCGGAGCCGTTTCCGACTGGTCCGTCCCTCGGAAGAACCCTCGCGAAGCATTTCGCATGCGAATCCGCGCGTGCGAATGGCAGTCCGGGCTGGCCGAAACGGATTCGGCCAATGGGAGCCGGTTTACGCCATCTCCGTGCAGCACGAATTGGAGCCGGCCAATCGAAAGATCAAACGGAAAGATCAAACGAGAAAAAAATATTAATTTTCACTTTATGCATCGGATGGACAATATTAATGTTTACTTTATGCATCTGGGAAACATTCAGTTTAATAACGGAGTAAACTGAGAAATAACGGAGGTTACGAGGTTACGTGTAATATAACGGAGTGTACTGTTAATTCGGGTGACCCTAAGTCGGACCTCGGCGGTCGCGACGAGGAAAATTATCTCTCCGCGGGAGTTAGCAGCCCGCTCCGAACGGGGCTCGCGGATGGTGTGCAACGTGGCGGACGTTGGATGCACAAGCGTGCATGTTGCGGAACCTCCCCGCAGGGTGAGAGGCCCGCGCGGTGCGACCGCGAGTGCCGTCTCTTGTTTCCATATCGGCCCACTCTTAGGCTCTTAGGTTCTCGGTACGGGCACCTGGTGCTCATTTTCGTTCTCCGTCTTCACATCTTGTTCTCTTCCTGCTCGCCCGTTCCACGTAGAGGTCCTCGTCGCCTAGTGCTAGCAGAGATTCTGCTTGGCCGCGTTCGCGCTTGGTAGCATCTAGCGTAGCTCATATTTTCTGCCGCGAGCACATTTTCGCGAACCGTTCGTCCTAGATTCACGCGAGCACTGTGTCGCGTACGTTTCGTCCTCGTGCTTTTGCGGTCGTACCAGTAATGAGCCGCGAAATGAAGGCGCTTAGAGCTGGGTCGAAGGAGGCCGCCTCCTGTCCGGCCATCATCTCTGTTGCGGGAGCCACGGTGGATCTCCCCCCCGAACAGTGGAGGCTGCTCGCAGAGGATAAGCATCCTCTCACGGCCCGTCTGTTCGACTTTATCACCGGGTGAGATCCATGCGTTCAAGTCCCTGACTCTTATATGCACGCGTTGTTTATGGTCGCGGTGTTTAGGCTGTTCGCGACATGTCAGCGGTAGTTACTCGTAGGCAGTGCAGGCCGCGGCATAACTCCGCTGTGCTTTTGGGTCGCGCTGTTACTGTTTGAGCTTTTCCCCGCCTTCTTTTACACCGTCCCGCACAGCGTGATTGTCCGGAGGTATCTGGAGAAGGAGGTGCATGAGCACGTCCGAATAGTGACGAGCGGTGTTGTCGCGGACATAGTCGCGGGTCGGGATGAAGCGGTCCATGCCTTTGGCGGTTTGATGGAGTGCAGCCTGGTGGTTTTCTGCATCTGGTCCGAGTGATTTTCCATTGGGAGTGTTCACTTGTGCAGGGATTGCACTCGTTTAAGTGGTTTAACGCGGTCGTCAATGGCACGTTCAGGGACGTGGTCGACAAGAAGAGCTCGAACGCGAGCATGCTCATTATGCTACACCCCGACCACTTGTCGCTTGACGGTGACGAGTGGAACACGCGGTTCGTTCGCGTTGCTATTCCCACTGGTGGTGCGGAACACGTCACCGCGGCTGATGCGATTGTGGAGTGAGTACCGCGTACTGGTTTATCATCAGTACCACGTTCATTTCCGCTCCGGGGCTCATGTCGCTAACCGTGCGCTCGCGTGGATATGTATGTGCTTTGGTGCAGGTGGTTTCAGGGTCGCGTCGACGAGGATTTTGCGGGCGGCTCCATTCAGTTCACCCGCTCCCGCCAGCTTAAGGATCCCGAGCGTCTGTTGGATCTGGTACGTCTGTGCTGTGTACGTGTTCTCGATGACCGCCAATAGTTGCAGTGGTGCTAACAAACCTCATGAAATGTTTTCGAGGACGCGACGTCATTCCGCGGCTCATGCGGCAACATCGCTTGTCTGTTCGCGTTCGACAAGATCATTGCACAGTTGGACGCGGTCGCTGCCAGTGGATCCGGGCCGCAATTCTCGAGGCCAACCGCGAAGACTCTGAATGCACTGAGGCATGAGGCGTACCAAACCGCCGAAGAGCTCGCGTTCAGCTTGAGCGTGGATATGACGCGACCCATGCACGGCGGTGAGGCTGAAGGGGCTGAAACGGGGAAGGTGCAGAAAGTGGCTACGGGTGCACAGGTTGCTGACCATGGTGTTCTCGCTCTCACAGGTGCCGCTGGTGTTTCGAACCGCGGAGGTGCTCGAGGGGGGACGGTGGTCCACGCTGATGACGACGTGGCCGAGGATACCGCGACAAAGGGTGCAACCCGCGATGAGGCTGACCTCGCTGTTGCGCGTGAGGGGGAGGAGTCGAGCGAGGAGGAGGCGGAGGAACATGTGGTAGCGGCCGCGGCATCCAGCAGGCCCACTACCTCCGGCAAGAGCATCAAGCACCTCGCGCAGCACTTGGCCCCCGGTGCTGGAAGCGCGGGCCCGAGTGGTGAGGTCGCGGGCAAGAGTCCCGTGACAGGTCCGCGTGATCACGCGTCCCTGTCCTCGTTGCCATCGCATAAGCTTGCTGCCGAGATCCTGCAGCTCGACTGCAGGCTTGCAGCGCTGGCCGAAGAGAACGCACAGCTGAAGAAACGCCAGGAGTCGGGGGTTGGTGGGGTCGCGGTCGTGGGCTCTCACGAGCTTGCGTCCGCGCTTGATAATGCGGTTCGGGTGTTGAAGGAAGAGGCGAGGGCGATCGCGCAGGAAAGAGCGGCACTGGTCGATACGCGTAACCAGGAGGCGTTGGTGCTGGGGAGAGTGGACGCGAGGCTGGGACAGCTGCAGGGGGTGGTGACAGACTCCATGGAAGCCGCTCAGAAGAAGCTGACGGACGAGGTTGCGTGGAAGATCGACAACATGTCGACCGCGGTCTCCGCGACAGCAGAGCGGGCGATCACCACCAGCGGGGTCACGAACGCGTTGCACACCCTAATCGCGCTCGTTGGAGGAGCCCCCCCGCCGCGCACGGATAATGAAGGAGCGGCCGCGACGGAGATTGCCGAGCTCGGGGATGCAGAGCATGGAAAGCGGGCAGCGGTTGCAAAGGCGGAGAATCAAAGGGGGGCGAAGAGGCAGAGAGGTTCCCAGGCAGCGGCCGCGGTGCGCAATCCGAGCGTGCAGGACATGCTGAAGCAGAAGTGGGGCGCTGCATCGCGAGGTCCAGCACCGCCTGGTCAACCGGGCTCGAGCTCGCGCTCCATCCCACATGGAGAAGCTGCACCCAAACCACCGGGCCCTGCCGGGGCAACCGCGACAGTGACAAGTACTGTGGGTCGGGGCAAGGGTAAGTCGGAGGATGGAGAGGCGCCGGCTGCTGCGGCAGAGGGCAGGCAGACCACGCTTGCACCCGCTCGTGCTGCAATCGCCGCGGGACATCTGCACAGCGCACTGGCATCTGCAGGTCCTATCGCAGCCTCGGTCGAGGGCAAGGCGGAGAAACGCGGACGGGGTGGCAAGAAGTTGCCCACTCCACCCGTGTACACGATCGACGAGGACGATGCGGATGAGGAGCTGGAGGGTCTCGTGAGCAGGTGGGTCGAGGCGGGCGACGGAGGAGAGAAGGGTGGGGAGGCCGCGGTCGACATTTATAGCGCCGGAGAGAGCGCGGACGAGCAAGACGGAGACGCCGTGATTGTGGAAGGTGGCACAACGGGAGGACATGGTGACACCGCCCCCAAGCGCAAGGGCTGCGGCATCCGCGCTCCACCCAGGGGCGGGCCCGGATTGGTTTCTGAACCCCATCTAGGGGGGAAGAAGCGATGGCTCGGACACGGCGACCTCGAAGACCTGCAGTACAAGACCGCGATCGCGATGTATCCCTATGACGGGAAGGTCGACCCCGGGCTGAATTTGAGCCAGAAGCAGATCCGAGAATGGGCCGCGGACCTGTCCATCGCCGAGGGGTTACATACGGGCCTCTTAATCACCATGCACTACCGCAACCTCGTGGCAAGCAAGGACAGGTGAGCTGTGCCAATCCACCATCACCTAGTGCGTTCATACGATATCACATGGATCGCTCCCGCGTAGTCAGTCGCTTTGGTTTGTAATCATGTTCTGGCCGCTCCAACCCACTGCGTGGCAGGTGGCACCGCATGTTCGATTCCTATCGCGGGCTTACCAAGCCCGGAATGCACACCACCAACGTGATTGCATGGGCCGCGGTGGTAGGCAAGGAGGCTGCATCAGAAGAAGCGGATCTCGGCGACGTGGAGCCGACGGACTACGCAGGAGCGATCGCATGCGCCATTGCAATGGTGTGGGAGGTCACTCGCGGTTCTAACGTCACTGCCGCGGCGGATAATGGAAACCTGGCTGCGCGTGCAGCAGGTTGCTATGGAGAGCGAAGCCGTCTCTTCCCTGTAGTATCCGCATACATCATCAATGCGGTGCGGAAGCACAATAGCCGCGAGGAAGATGAGCCACAGGCTGTCCCAGACCCGAAGGCGGTCGCCGCCGCGATCGTGTCCGGAGTCGTGAACGAGGTCATTGCAAAGTCTCGCGATCTCAGGCACATCGAGTTGGCCGCCCGCGAAACGGTGGACGTTATCATCACCTGGTGCGACTGCTCGGTGGCAGGGAAGCAGATGGAGTCCTTGGGTTTGTACCTTGCCCTGCCAAAGGATCGTCTGAAGAAGCGCACTTGAGTGCGTGTAGTATCGCGTAGCATGTGCACAGCCTGTCCGCCATGCTTGAGTTCTACTCGCGGTGGATTGTGCTGGTGCCTGTAGTAAAGCGTGTGCGTGTGTGTGTGTGTGTGTGTGTGTGTGCGCGCGCGCGCGCGCGCGTGTGCGTGCGTGTGTGCGCGTGTGCGTGTGCGCGTGAGCACCTAGTGTTTACATGTGGAACAATATGCGAAGGTTTGTAGGATTCAGTGGGTGCGTGTTTTTGCGCGTGACATTTTAGTAGTAATCTGCATTCGTCTCAGGTATTCCCACACATTATCATTGTACACACTACGACGCGAACAAGCTTTGTACATTAAGCAACAGCAGCACGCAATTAGCACGGCCGCGATGTAAATCAGCACTATCTGACAGCGAAACAACAACAGCCCGCGAGCAACACGGCCGCGTTGTAAATCAGCATAATCTTCGCGTAAACAACAACACTCGCGGTCGATTATAGGGACCCATAACATCGCACCCGAAGACGGTGATATCAATACGAACAACAGCGGGGTCAATCCATTTACTGCAAGTCTGGCATGAGCGCACAGTACTGGGGCCACGCGACCGTGAACTCCGAAGCGGGAAGAGAGGCATCGATGAGACGGTCGCGAACAAGCATCCATTTCACACGCAACTGAACCTCCACCGGAGAGCCCTTCTTGAGCTGGCTCAGTTCCATGTCAACACTCTTCTTCTTTACCGCGATCCCTTCCGATACACCCGACATGCCCACAGCACCTGACATGAGGTCGAGCTTGTCGAGCACTACCGCGATGTCGTCTCCTTGCTCCACCCTGTGGGCGATGAAGTTCATGATTCGCTTAACACGGTTTATCGCGTTCTGGCCGCCTCCCTCCTCTCCAATGAGCGCGGCCATTCGCGAAACTGCGCCGCGGGGTTGGGCCAGAAGCGACTCTAGACTCTCGAGGATCAGCGGGTGCGTTGTCTTGTACAGCTTCCATCCGTCTGACGGTTTGGTGGCGTTGACCCATGGAAGGACGATCGCGTCCCGAATCGTCTGTTCCCTGGTGGGCGCTGCGGCTTTCTTCCGCGTCCCCTGCTCGGTGGGACCTGTGGCATTGGTCGTCGCGGCCGCGGCTCCAGGAGTGGTTGCCTGGTTCGGAACCGCGGTCGGCCCTGAGCTGCTCACGGTGAGCCGCGACAGCTGGGCCTCCAAATCATTCACGCGCTCATCCTTCTCGGCCAGTTTCCGATCGCGATCCTCCAGCAGCCCCTCCAGCTCTTTCACCCGTTTCTGAGTCGCGACCAACTCTAGGCCTAGTCTGGTGTTGTCAGCTTGTGAACGCGTGAAGTACTCAGTGAGGACGGTCACTTGGTTCTGCGCGTCCATTCTGGTACTCACCTCCTGCATGGGCAGAAAGCGACCGCGAACTTGTTATGGTTTGGCATTGACATCACGGAAGAAAGATAACGCGACCATTCAGTACTTACCGCGGGCTGGGTCAGTGTAGGTGTGTTGCGTTGTACTATGGCGAGTTGATTTGCCAATGAGACATCTGCAGCCCACGACGCAAACTCCTCTGTCTGGCAGAGCGGGTTGTTGACCACGTACGGGTGTCACGGCTGGTGGATGTAATACATCGCCAGGTCTTGCGCGACCGCCATCCTAGCGTCCCCATCCAGCTCCTTCAGTATGTTTAGCCCCGCGGTGTCCTGCTTCTCCGGCTTCTGCGTTTCCACCATCCTGCGGTTGTAATCCTTGCACTGTGACAATATAAAAACAAGGCAGTGAACGCTGTGCCAGGGTGGTATGTGAGATGCTTGCGGTCGCGTATGTGCGGACCACACATACCTGTTGCTGTCCTTTGTCCGTGGCGGCCCATGGGAAAATGTGCTTCCTAAGTAGCTCATCCAGCTTATCGTTGACCGGAACAGTTGCGCGACCCAGGAAGTAGTCACCGTCAACCCCGGTGAAGCCCGCCTTCAGCAGCACGACCTCCCTTGGAATGGTTGTGAGGTAGTGCTTAGTCATCACGTCGATGAAGCGCCAGCCCCCCAGCCTCGCCAGCTGATCCGAAGGCATTCCGTCCGCGGACACGTGCTGCGCCCCCTCAGCCCTGGTCGCGTGAACCGCACGCGAGCATGTGATTCCCGCGTCCTGGAGAATTTTCGCCGCCCAGTCGTGATGAGTCGTGGGCGGTATTTGCTTCTCGTTGCCCGCGCGAAGGGGGAAGAACAGATATTGATCGTACCACGTGGAGGGTTCCGTGAAGTCGAGAGGGGGGGCTATGTTCTCGTAAAGGATGGGAACCAAGTCGTACACCCAGTGCAGCCACAGCAGCGTCGCTCCGACCGCGCACAGCGTCCAATCTATGTGCCTCACAGCAGATATGTAGTTGAGCGAGAAGTCTTTGTTTGTCTTGCCCGTCCTGCACGCGCAAACAAACATGAACGCGTTTCTAACTGGATCGGTCTCCGATTTTGCGCCTAGCTTCCACATCATCATGTCAGGCAGCTGCAGGTTTCTGATCGTGCATCCGCGGGCCAGAGTGTGATGACCGAGCACGGTCATCGTCCGGATGCAGAGGTCGCGATGCATTGCCTGCGTGTATGCTTTCTTGGCTAGTGTGAAGCTGGTCAAGATCGCGTCCATGCTGGTCTTCCTCATCATATGCTTGAACTCGTCCGGGGTGTACGTGTCCGCGGCCGTGCCCTGATGGCGATCCATGTGTTCCCTGCGCATGGATTGGGACGATAGTGCGGGTGTTTGTGGACGCGGGATTGTCAGGCATTAAACGAGTTCACTGAGAACGTATACTTACGCGATAAACCGCTTGTATTGGTCGCGTACTTGAACGCGGACCTGTCAAAATCACTAGGTAATTGAGAGTAGAAACGTGGGGCCTAGGCTTAGTAGCCTAGGCCCTAACTTAGTATCGAGCGGGTTTTCACCTAGGGTGAGAGTCGAGTGAGTTGAGAGAGAAATTGTGAAAAGGTGGTTTCACTACAGGTTCAAGGGTACATATAGCATAGAAACAAAATAAGGTGCACCACCAACAAAAGTTTACATAACTACACTAACTACAACTACAAGCAATTATAAAACATGACAAAATATTTCGACACGCCCCCATAATGCTTGTAGGTAGGTATGTAGTTACAGCAACAGCAGGTACCCCTACCATCTCCTCACCCTCCTCCTTCCCCTCCCCCACACTGCTGCAGAAGCAGCAGAGAAAGGGGGAAGAGAGGAGAGGTGGAGGGACGGCTGCTTGTTGCCTCACACCTGCCACCCCGGTACCACTCCCCCTCCTCACCCACATCCTCACACCCTCCTCCCCCAGCGGCAGCTGCAGCGGTGGGACTGAAAGAAGGAGGAGGGAAAGGGAGAGAGTTGACCCCACGCTCCAACACCCTCCACCCCCATACCCTCCTCCCCACGGCTGCAGGGAGACAAGAGAAAGGGGGGGGTGGGAAGGAAGAAAGCCGCAGAGCGGCGAAGAGGCGTCGGTGCAGATGGGTCAGGGGCGGCAGCAGGGAGTGCTGGGGCGGAAAGGCCCGTCGCGGGCCAGTGCCACGGGGCGCACGACGGGTAGAATAAAAGGGCCCGATCGTGTGCCTCGGGGCACACGACGAGCAGGGCACCATCGTGTGCCACGGGGCGCACGATGGGCAGTAGAAGGGCACCGTCGCGTGCCACGGGGCGCGCGACGGGCAGGGGGAGTCACACGCCCGTGGGCGGGACAAGGTAAAAATAAAAAACCGTCACGCGCCCTAGGCGCGCAACCGTAAAATCTTAGCAGCGGAAGTAAAGCGGGCCCACAGGCCAGGACGAACACTAAGCTCCGATAACATGTCAAAATCACTAGGTAATTGAGAGTAGAAACGTGGGGCCTAGGCTTAGTAGCCTAGGCCCTAACTTAGTATCGAGCGGGTTTTCACCTAGGGTGAGAGTCGAGTGAGTTGAGAGAGAAATTGTGAAAAGGTGGTTTTACTATAGGTTCAGGGGTACATATAGCATAGAAACAAAATAAGGTGCACCACCAACAAAAGTTTACATAACTACACTAACTACAACTACAAGCAATTATAAAACATGACAAAATATTTCGACAGGACCCAGATGCGACACTCTGCAAAGTCGCGCAGCAGGTTCAGAACGGGCTTCCTGAAGATCGCCCCGTCCAGCTTGATGAGCAGGTTCAAAGCCTTGAGACGCCCCATCAGCATTGCTGGGGTGCACTGGCGTCTCTTCTTCAAGGTCTTCTGCGGCCGCTTGAGTGTGGCCATCGTGTCCGCCTGCGCGACTGTCTCGTTCGCGAGGAAGGTCACGTATTTGCGTAAGCGCCACGGATTCGTCTCAGGGCCGTGGAACCACTGCTCGTCGCCCTCCGCCATCTTCCAGTCACCACCCATGTTCTGTTCGAGCGCGGCCCCAATCTCGTCCGGGTTCGCGTTTCTCAGCGCGGCCTCATCACCAAACCTACCCGCGTCCAGTTTAGGCAGCTCGTGGGCCATGAACCGCTTGTACTCGTTGGCCCAACCGCGATACTTCTTCAGCGTGGCCTCCGAGACACCGTAGAGGATTCCGTAGCACATCTCTCGTTTCGCGGCCGGCGTGTCGTCCACACCTAGCCTGTTCCAATCAGCGATAGGGACCTCAATGTCCCTCCGCGTACCCCGCACCCGTTCGTTGTCTTCCGCCTCCTCCTCGTTGAGCGCGGACAGCGAGTTCGATAGGTAGTTTTCGTCATCGTCATTCCAACTATCGTCCGCATCGTCAGCGCCGTCCTCGTCATCCTCATCGCTTGTCCCCTCGCTCCCCTCCCGGGAGCCATTGCGTGCCGTGTGCGGCACTACATCGACTCTCCGCCTCCTTATACGCGGTCTATTAACTGGCCCGTTACCTGACCCGCCGTTCGCGATAACACCGCTACCCCTGCCGCCGTTACCTGTCACCCCATGCGCTCCCTGCCCGTTCGCACTATTCTTGTTTGCTCCCACACCTGTCGCACGTCCTGCGCTCGCTCTCCCACCCCGTCGTATCGCACCTCTCCCTCTATCCGCGTTCCCTCTCTCCCCTGTCCCTCCTCCCGCGTTCCCCCTCGCACCCGTCCCTCTTCCCCTTACCGCGTTTCCGCTTGCACCCGCTCCACGCCCCGCGTTCCCCGCGTTTGCCTGTGGTTGCCCACCTACACCAGTCGCGTACGCTACAATCGGATGCGTGGGGGTGCGGATGTGGACGTCGGGGTTTCCGGGAAACAGTGAGTTCAGGTTCCATATTGGCGGCGAACGTGCACGCACGCGTGCATTCATCCCCGCTCCACCATTCACCGCATGCCCTACACCACCGGCAACTACGTTCGATGATGGGCCGTCTGTTCGCGCTCGTGTGTCCAAACCGACAACTAATGCATCTCTAGGGTCTGGCGGGGCTTGCACAGCTGGCTGGCTTTCCGGATGAATCGCGCTGGGGAATGGTGTTGACGGCGCGACAGGAGGCGTCACTACAGATGCGGGTGCGTGCACCATGGGGTTTGGTTGAACGCCGATGTACCCGTACATGAATCCCACGTTCGAGTACTGCGGCCCTACGAAGCCACGCACAGGCATCCCAAAGAGCTGGCTACTGGGCACGGACGGTGGCGCGTCCCCATTACCCGGTTGATTTTGTAACGCGACCCCCGCTGCCGCAAACGGTATTTGTGGCCGCGGTGCTAGGTGGAGCCCGTTGACCAGTTGCTGTGGGTGAAACGTGGGCGTCCTGGACCCAAAAACCACTGGCTGCCCGTATGGGGTGCTCCATGCGGGGTTGAGCGCGTTCACCCCATGCACGGGAGCGGTGGGTGGTTCGGCATTATGTATTTGATGCGCGGTTGTGTTGCCCGAAGCATTGACGGAGTCGTGAAGTATTGGCGCCGCGACGCGATTCACGGTATGCATGCGGCGTGCGAGGTTGCACCTACTCGTATTCACCGTGTGCGTCAACATGATGCGCGGTCACTATTTGTCCACCCGGGTGTGACTTAGACGCGTCTACCTCGCGACCGATGTGCTCGCGGACATTCGAGCGCGGCACACAGCGCGGCCGTGATACTGGTGTCTGGTGTATCCCAGTGGGTCGTGAGGGGGTTGAGCTTGGTGTGCAACTGGCGATCGGAAAGTGGAAACTGTGGGCGTCCTCGGCGTAATGACCGGACACTGCGTGGACGTGCTTGACACGTTACCGCGATCGCGCATCGTCCAAACGAACACACAGCTGTGTGGCTCGTTCAAATTGCGGCACGTGTCAGCCGGCATGGAGCCTACCAGATCGTGCCAGCTGTAACCGAACCGGGTCTGGCTGTGCGCTTGGCGAACCTATGCTTGTGCGAATTTTGTTCGCGATAAGTTGCGAGAGAGAACAACCAGTCGTAGCACTCCTTTGGTGTCGCGAACTCGCGGTTGCATGCGCGGGATGTCCCGCTCGTCAATGTTGCCGACCAATCACGTTCGTTTCGCGCCGAGCCGCGCATGCATCGGCGCGTAAGAACGAGGTGGGTTCTTTCGGTTTTCTGGGGTCCGCGGAGCTTTCGGTGGCAGCCTGGTGGGTTTCACTCAGCCACGCAGGGCCGCGCTAGGTCCAAACCTGGTGGGATCCTGGGTGGCCGACTTCGCCCCACGCTCCCCGCGATTTCTCCGCGCCCCGTGCATCCCAAGGCGTGGGCGGGGTTGTTCCCGAGCCGCGCCGTATGAACATACCAGAGCAGGGAGGCGTTGCCTACACGCATCTCCCTGCTGATGTAGACTGACGGCGGGTCCAGCGCGTTCGTTTTCAGTTCATCCGTCGTGGCGCAAGACGATTCCACATGGTGCACAACGGTTATTAAGCGTCTCCGTTTTGCACCTTGACGAACAAGATGTGAGAATCACTGAACAGGAATGAGAATGACTAAGTCAGAGTTGGGTACAAATAGCAAACCCTAGAAATCTGTACCCCATATGTGCTGCCCCACTATAGCCTACAAACATGCATCAGCTATAATGTTCTGACACACCCCCATAGGCAAAGTGGGGGAGAACAAGGGGTCACAAGACCAGTCAAGCAAAGCAAAGCAAAGCAAGCTCAGGGTGGATCACAAAGTCACCACACAGTCCGAGCACAAGAGCAGGGCCAGAGGCCAGTTCACATGCAGCAGTACAGACATATATATAAAACTAGACAAGCAGGAGCAGGTATATATATGTCACAGTACAAGTGAAGTCAGGAAGAGAGCAAGTGAGGCAAGACAGGCACAAGACCCAGCTGGGTGCAGAAGCGCTGATGGTCACAAGGCGCGAGTGCCTTGGTGAACACATCAGCAGTGTTGGCCTCAGAGGCCACGTACGCAAGTCGCAACTGACCACGCTGCTGCAGCTCACGAGCAAGGAAGTAGCGGAGAGCAATGTGCTTCGTTCTGTGCTCCAAGCGCTGCTCTCGACACAAGGCCAGCATGGCCTTGTTGTCTACGTACAGCACTGGAGGAGAACGAGGCGGCTCTCCAAGGTCAGTCAGCAGGTAGGTGAGCCAGCGAAGCTCCTGTGCAGCCATGGCCCCTGCGTAAATCTCAGCCTCACAACTGGAGCCGAGAACCGAAGACGAGCGAGTAGACCGCCACGAGACAGAGCCAGAACCAAGGCTGAAGGTGTAACCCTGTGACGACCGCTGCGTAGCCTGGTCGTCAGCCCAAGAAGCGTCCGCGTGGCCTGTAAGGACCACTGGACTCCGCCCTCCAAGCACTAGCCCCATGCCCGACGTACTGCACATGTAGCGCAATACCCTCTTTGCTGCAGCCATGTGCTCTGGTCGGTGTCTCCCAGGAGCAACATAGCGTGCAAGGATGCTCAGAGGGTATGCAAGGTCAGGTCGTGTGCAGGTCATCAGGTACATGAGGCAGCCAACAAGCTCTGCATACGGACCACTCGACTCTACGGACTCATCCGAAGGCAGAGCTGAGAGTGAGTGGCGAGTAGGCAGAGGAGTGGCCTGAGGCGAGGAGTACGTGAAGCCGAAGCGCTGAAGGACCTGCTGCACCATGTGTGACTGAGTCAAGGTAATGGTGCGGCGTGCTCTGTCCCGAGTGATCTGCAAGCCAAGGTAGCTGCGCAGTTCACCCAGGTCTGTGCACGTGTGTCTCTTCAGCAGCTCGGACTTCACGTAGGCGAGTCCAGCAGTGTCCGCTGTGGTAAAGACCAAGTCGTCGACGTACACAAGGATGTAGAACGGCGGCAGGGAAGTGTCGGTGCGAAGAAACAGCGACGGGTCAGCAGTAGAAGGAGCAAACCCAAGAGCCGCAAGCGTAGTCCTCAGTGTGTCGTGCCACTCACGCGGTGCCTGGCGGAGACCGTAGACTGGCCGTCGGAGGCTCCACTGAGTGCCAGGAGGGAAAGTCCCAGTGAAGCCAGGCAGACGGCGCAGCCAGATCTCCTCGTGCAGGCTACCCTGCAGGAACGCAGTGCTGAAGTCGAGAGAGTGAAGCTCGTAGTCGCGCTGAGCGGCAATGTGCAGCAGCACCCGAAGAGTGGTCATCTTCGGGGTGGGAGAGAAGGTCTGAAAGTAGTCAACTCCCTGCCGCTGACTGAAGCCACGAGCCACGTAACGCGCCTTGAAGACAGGCGGAGAGCCCGGCGGCCGCTTCACCCTGAAGATCCACATGCCACTGACGATGTTCGCCCCAGGAGGGGGAACCGCGTCAACGTAGGTGCCTGTGGACTTCCAGGAAGCCATCTCTGCATCCATAGCTGCCTGCCACTGAGAGGAGTAGGGACCCTCTACGGCCTCCGAGTAAGAACGCGGAGTCGGGATGTCTAGTGCATCCGGGTCTCCCTCAGGGGCAAGCAGTACAGACGCGAGATAAGGTGAAGCAGCCGCTAGACACTGTAACTCCTCCTGCCTGTCCTCTAGGACGTCCGTGCCAAGAGCACACTCACCCCCGACGGACGGAGGACAGACAGACACAGACTCAGCAACAAGACTAGCAGCGTAGTCTAAGCGACAGCGAGCAGCAAAGTCGACGAGCTCAGTGACTAGGGCAGACGCAGCAGAAGACTCGAAGGAAGGGTCAGTGACCACAGTAGCAAGGAAACGCGTGACAGTAGGACTGGCAGCACGAAGAGAGTCCGACGCAGGGTCGGCAAGCGCAGGAAGAGAGGACGCAGGAGGAGAAGGCAAAGGGGCACGCAGAGGAGCAGTGGACGGACGCAAAGACATCTGGTGCGTGCCAGGGACAGGAGGAGGACGCTGACGTGAACCGCGACCACTAGCGCGAGCAGGACGAACAGGCGACGCTGGACGAGACGCAGGCTCACGACGCTCAGCAAGACCCCCAGTAGGACCAGTGTAAGGAGGGGGAGCAGGCAGTGGAGAGGAGGGCTCCAGGAGGGACTGCGACTGGACAGGCGGTGGAACCTCTACTGGAGGAGAAAGACCAAGAACCTGCTGGAGGAGCGGAACGAAGTACGGTCGAGGCCGCGCAGCAGCTCCAGACACAGCAGGGACAGCACCAGCTCCCTCAGCGACAGCACCAGCGCCACCAACACCTCCAGCGGCAGGACCAATAGCAGTAGTCTTAGCACCAACA